CTGTCTGTGCTAGTTAATACGTTAGCCACCAGTCACACACAGCTCTCTAAAACTACATTGAGTTTAATGCAAATTAAATAAAACTTAAAATCCAGTCCCTCAGCTGTGCGAGCCGTATTTCGAGTCCTCAGTAGCCACCAGCGGGCACTGTATTGGACAGCACAGAGGCAGATATTTCTATCACCGCAGAAAGTTCTAGTGCACAGCGCTGCCTAGGAGGGACAAAAATCGTGTGTAATTTATTCATTTAGGACTAGCAGGGTGCTTAAGACATAGACTTGAGAGGCAGGCAGACCTCGGTTCAAATCCCAGCTCCTAATCTTAACTAGCTGTGAGATCTCGGCCAAGTTCAGATTCTCGACACTTACCCCACGGTGTGGTTGTGAAGGTTATAGACGTTCGTACATGTGAAGGACTTCAAACAGAGCCTAAACCCCGAGTAGACCCAAGGAAGTGTTAGCTACCGTTATCCCCAGCCCCAGTAAAACAGCCAGCACATAGTAGGCATTATTAAATGTTTCTTGGTTGAGTAAATGGGTACAAGAACAATTGAATGAACGGACCTTACTTCTGGCCTAAATGAAAGCACGACACCTCTTGTGAAACCAAACGAGACTACAATTAATACTGACAGCTTCTAGCTAGTCAGCACTTACGGCATACCCGGGGCTGTTCTAAGCGCTTCACGTCGTCCTCCCAACAGCCCTGTGAGCAAGATCCTATTAAAAATGACTTTGCAGGGCGCCTGGGTGGCTCAGTCAGTTAAGCGTCCAACTCTTGATCTCAGCTCGGGTCTTGATCTCAGGGTCGTGAGTTCGAGCCCGTGGTCGGGTTCCACGCTGGGCGTGAAGCCTACTTAAAAAAAAAAAAAAAGAAAAGACTTCTTTGGGGGGAAACTGAGGCTCCCAAGATATGAAGTAAAAGCAGATGAGGAGATTAGGATTTGAAGCAGCACCTGTCTGCCTTGGTGGAGATATTGCTTCTAGATCATTGGCCACCAGGGTGCCTGGCTGGCTCACTCTGAAGAGCATGAGACTCTTGGTCTTGGGTCATGAGTTCGAGCACCGTGTTGGGTGTATAGATTACTGAAGCAAACAAATAAATAAATAAACTTATACAAAAAGATGACTGGCTGCCATGATTGCTCCCAGAGGTGTTCCCATCCTACCCTCTCTGGTTCTGTTCTCTTGGTGGGGTAGAGGCTGGGGGCAAATTCAGCCAGGGGCTGGATGTGCCCATCATCTTCCCTGACCTTGGGGACGGCCATGGCTCCCCATTGGGAGAACACACACCTGTAGGAAGGAAGGCAGCCTGCTCGGTTTCTCTCCTCTTCACAGAGAGACTTTTGACCCTGGTTTCTCAGATTCTTTTCTTTCCCCATCCAACCTCAGGGCACCCGCCTTCTGGCCGTGCCCACCCCTCCCCAACTCCCCACATGCACCACAGAGCAATGGCGAAGCGGCAGACAAGGACGCCTTTCTTCAAAGTGGTTCGCCTTCATCTCATAAACTCCCAGCCCTGGCCCGATTGGCTGCGCCCAAAACGAGCTAGGCCCCCCGCTCCAGTCCTCAGATACAAAGTGAGTTATGTGCAGTTTGCCCACGTGAGGCCCGTCACAGGGGCCCGCCCCTCTCGGAAATCCCAAAGGACAAAATACCAGAGAGCCCCAACACAGTGACTGCCTGGTCACAGGATCAAAATTATCTGGCGAGACAAAGGAAAGCAGAAAGTTGGGAAAACCAAGACGACGAAGAGGCACTGTGAACAAGATCCTTTCCAACCTGAAGACTTGAAAGACATTTAACCCTTTCTCCCCAAACCTTTTCACTTTCCAGCCAGAGAGAGAGAGAGAGAGTCTGTGCAGATTGGGACCATGCCCGAGCGTTGGGGGAATGGTCCCCATTTCAACCAGTCCTGATGGTTCCTTTTGCCACTTTCAAGAACTCGCCTTTCCCACGAAGCATGATTCCAATGTTTCCCATTTTTAGGCACTAAAATTAGTCGAACTGTGCCTTCTAATTCTGTAGACACAACCCAGCTTTTGCAAATGTCCCTCTCTTCCATTTCTGGGTGAATTTTTGCATAGTGCAGACTGCCAATTTTGTGGAGCGTTCTCGGGGGAAGATAGAAGTTTAAAATCATCTTGCTGTTAACCATGAAACAAATGCTGTGGAGCCCAAAGCTCTGATTTAGAGAGAATGCTGCACATAGCACTCTCAGGAAAAGAAAAACACAGACAAATGTCCTCCATGGATCACCGCTGAACATCTTGGTGAGAATATGGACTGTAATTTACTGAGCACTCACTAGGGAACCAAGCATTCCCCAGGCTCTCCTTTATTTGCCGGAATGTTACTATCCTCCGAGCAACCTTCCCTCTGAGGCGAATACAGTTTTATCCCCATTTTAAAGGTGAGGAAACTGAGGCCCCGCGAGATTAAGTAACTTGCCCAAAGATGCAGCTAGAAATTGACCAAGCTGAGATTGGAGCCCAGATCTCTCTGACTACAAAGGCTGAATTCTTATGTTTTTATTTATTTACTTTTGAGAGAGAGCACACATTGGGGAGGGGCAGGGAGAGAGAGAGGGAGACACAGAATCTGAAGCAGGCTCCAGGCTCTGAGCTGTCAGCACAGAGCCTGACGTGGGGCTTGAACTCACCAACCGCGAGATCATGACCTGAGCCAAAGTGGGACGCTCAACCGATGGAGCCACCCAGGCGCCCCCTACAAAGGCTGAATTCTTAACCTCAGTGCCGAGTGAGTGGTAGTCATTATTATTTTTGTCATAAAATACAATGGATTGTCTGCAGGAATAGAAAGATGCTTACAACCCAGAGGTGAAAACACAGGCAACAAGATTGCACACTGTCTGTGATTGTATTAAAAAAAGATAGTAGATGATAGATGGATAGGAGGCAGAATACTAGAGCAATCTTTGCCAAAAGCTTGAGTGATTTTCTCTTATGATTTTTTTTTTTTTTGCTTCCTCCTTCCCTTGCTAGTGCTTTTCTTTGCTTTCCATGTGTTCTTTGTGAAGCATGTATAACTTTTGCCATTAGGAAAGAAGGGTGTGTGTGTGTGTGTGTGTGTGTGAGAGAGAGAGAGAGAGAGAGAGCGAGCGCTTTAAAAGCAAGAAGGAATAGAGAAGTTGGCAAAGTAGGCCAAGGAAGCTGGAATATCAGTTATTTAAATCCTGTCCAAAATTGCAATTTGGGGATTTCATAATTATCCCAAAACGATGAATCAAAAGTTTTAAGCCACCTGCCCCCTCAACCAAGTGCAGCCAAGTCACGGTGACATTAAACAATGTTCTAGAAGGTATGCTTTGAGGTGGGGGGGGCATAGAGTCGGAGAGAAAGTGGACGAGCTCACGTAAGCGAAGGTGAAGATTGCCTTCTTCACACGCCCTCCCAAACCCTTGCATTCAGGCAGCTGCAGCTTTATCAAGAAATGCCCCAGTAGCCTGGGGAGAAGGGGCCGAAAACCTTCAGCCTGGCCCCCAAGACAAATCCCCCCGAGCCTGGCAGGAGGCAGCCTCGCTGATTCCAGGCCTATATTTTTCATTTCTTGTTTTAACAGTCATAAACGCCTTCCGATGCCAAAGCAGAACACGACTTTAATCCAGATAAAATAAAATTCCTAAACTCTGAAAACTACACAGAGATTTACAAGCCAATTTTAAAAAGCAAGAGCCTTGGTTCCAAGAGTGGCACATTCCACGTGGCCGGTGCTGGGGCTTGCCCCGTGGCCCTGCCTCCTGGGGTCAGGACACTCAGCTCCCAGATCCACAGGCCCTTTGGCGAAGAGAATACGGGCACACACTGCCTTCGGTGTGGACCCTTCTCAGATCCCTGGGCTCTGGGGTCTCCTGGCTTTCAGGAGTCCTAATATGCTCCAGCTCCCCTCTCTCCACCTCCCCTCCACCCCCAGCTGTTGCAGAAAACCGCAGGCAACCGGCCCTTCCTCTCAGCAGCCAAGTTTTCTCCAAGTAAACACAGAATGTAGCAGAAGATCAGCTCTGTTCCCTTCCCGACACTGTTAGGTTGGGTCAAGGCTGGCCTGGTACCAACCTTGGGAACTCAGGCTAGGGTGGGCTCCAGGCTAACCGTGGGCTGGCTGGCTGCCACTGAGCAAAGCCTTGCTACGTGCTAACGGCTTTATCAACATGATCTCAATGGATCCTTTGGATTCTGTAAGGAGAGAGCTCCTTATGTTGGATTTCATCTCTTTGCCCCTCCTTTTCTCCCCTTGCTCTGAGCCCAGGAGGCCGACCTGGGTGAACAGCATCAGTGGGCTCCCATGTACTCTGGCCTCTGGTTGGTCTGTCCAAGAAGAGAAGAGGCCCCGACAGGAGATGAGAGGAGAGAAGACAATGGGGTTGGGATACTAATCCCCCAGGCTCCTCCCTGCCTGTGCTGTGGGCTGGCTGTGTATCTTCCAAAAGCCACCGTTCCTGATGGGTGATTCACTCCATATAGCTCCCTTTTCCAGGTTCTGGAATCAACCCTCTTCCTTGTTCCTGCGGGCTTGGGGTTAGCACAGCGTCTCCCTTTGCGAGACGTAGGGATGGCACTTTTTACCCTGTTTATCTTCCTAAACACTGTTCGTACCTGTGCAAATAACCTCTTTATTAAACTCTCGTGAAACTGTCCAATGCCAGTATGCCTTATGTGACCTGCCCGGCTCCTGACCAATGCATTTGTATCATCTCTGATTTATAGAGGAGGAAACCGAAGCTCAGAAAAAGTAAGTCGCTTGCCCAGGAGCAATGATCCAGGATTCGATCATTGGTGATCATCGATCACCCAATGATGTGGGTCAGCCTGTCTTCAGAGTCCAAGCTCTTAACCTCTTAATGACTAGATAAAAAATAAAATAAAATTAGCTTTTACTCGGGGCCACACAGTGTACCAAACACTTCATGCCTTTATTTCATGAATCCTCACAAAGACTATGGTAGATAATATTTGCTGTCCCCATTTTAACCCTATTTTACAGATGGGAAAAACTGAGGCTCAGAAAGAGAACGTCACCTGCCCACAGCCACGGAGTCGAAAAGAGGCAGAGCGGAGGCCCGAACCCAGGTCTGTTCCGGTTTTCTAACCGACCTCAGATAACCTGCCTTCCGGAGAAGCTATGGCATCCCTGGAAGCCGGAAAAGAGAATGCATCCGTGTCCAGAGAGGGGCTCCCAGGGTAGGGCTGGAGAGGCCGATTTGTTTATTAGGTCCAGGGGACAAGCTTGAGTGGAAGGTGGCAGGCAGAGCCAGGGGCTGGGGGATAGTGGAATGGAGGGCGGGGTGGGGGGGACGCCAGGCCAGGAGCGGAAAGGTGGTCCAGGCCTTCGAGGAGAGAAGGATAGGATGTCTGGTCTGCCTGTGTACAAATGGCAGCTGGGCGGGGCTTAAGTGAGGGCTGTTCGTGCTGACACCGGTTTGCTAATGTGTACCGTGTGCCAGTCACAGCGCTGGGCTCTGGGGCAATCTTGGTTGGGGCAGAGGTACCAAATGTAGACCCACGCTGTGGGAGGAAACTGGTACGGTTTGGGGCTCAGCTACGAGACCCTTTGCCCAGCCTACTTCCCCACTTCCTCATCCCTAGGAGCCCTATTATCAGGGCTACACTTCCCCCTCCCCCCAGGAAATAAATAAATAATCCCACCTTTGTGTACTGGGGTGTCCCACTGGAGTCCTTGTCCTTGTTACACCTGACTCTTCATCTTTCTCCCCTGGCCTCAGCCCAGCGACCCATAAACAGGTCTCTGCTGTGTCCCTGTTCTCTTGTTCACTTTAAAATGCACCCCCCAGGGGCTCCCCAGGTGGCTCAGTCGGTTAAGCGTCAGACTTCGGCTCAGGTCATGGTCTCACGGTCTGTGGGTTCGAGCCCTGCGTCAGGCTCTGTGCTGACAGCTCGGAGCCTGGAGACTGCTTTGGATTCTGTGTCTCCCTCTCTGCCCTTCCCCCTGCTCATGCTCTGTCTCTCTCTGTCTGTCAAAAATAAATGTTAGGAAAAAATGTAAAATGCACCCCCCAATTGTCTATCATCACCTGCTTTATAGCTTTATTAAGTTAGAATTGATACGCAATAATCTGCATGTATTTAAACTGTGCAATTTGATATATTTTGACGTATGCATACCCCCTGGAAACTATCACCACAATCAGAATCATGAATATATGATCACTCCCAAAGGTATCCTCGTCTCCCTTTATGACCTCTCTTCCTGGCCCAGGCAACTGCTGATCTGCTTTCTGTCTCAATTTTATATAAATGGAAACTTATAGAAGCCTGGCCTCCTTCATGAAGCATAATTAATTTTAGGCTCATCCAACTTGTCTATCGATGCTTCATTCCTTTTTATTGCTGAGTAGTATTCTATTGTATGGATATGCCACAGTTTGTTGATTCCTTCCTTCCTTCCTTCCTTCCTTCCTTCCTTCCTTCCTTCCTTCCTCCCAGCTGTCTACCATCTATCTATCATCATCTATCCACTTCTTTACAAGTGAGCTAACTTGTAAAGATGTTATCACGGCATTTATATTCAATAAATAGCAAAAGCATTTATGTCAATCTACCTGTCTGCCTATAGGGAAGGAATAAATAGTTTGGTTTACACACACAATGGTCCGCTGTGCCACGATTAAAAAGAATGAGGTCGTTCTACATGGCATCAAACTATCCCTGGCCATATGGTGGCCGGCCTCGATGTGGTGTCACCTTCCAAAGAATTACAAGTCCCCAATCCCCATGGCATTAGCAAATAACTGACCTCTTCACTGAAGTCTCTGAGAAATCCTTGCGATCCAAAGGCTTCCTCTTCACAACGGCTACTTCCCCAATACTTCCCCTTGCTTCCTCTGGACCTCAGCCTGCGTTATCTCTTCAGGCCTTTCCTTCTTAATCCCTCTCTTCCCATTTTGGCCCACTCCGTTCTACCCCAGGCGGCTTCCGGTCCTTCCTGATGTGAATTAAGGTACTCACTTTTTAAAAAAAAATTTTTTTTTCCAACGTTTATTTATTTTTGAGACAGAGAGAGACAGAGCATGAACGGGCGAGGGGCAGAGAGAGAGGGAGACACAGAATCGGAAACAGGCTCCAGGCTCTGAGCCATCAGCCCAGAGCCCGACGCGGGGCTCGAACTCGCGGACCGCGAGATCGTGACCTGGCTGAAGAGGGACGCTTAACCGACTGCGCCACCCAGGCGCCCCAAGGTACTCACTTTTAAGCATGTTCCAGTCCTTGATGAGCCCAACAAAGGTCTAGGGGTTAAGCAGGCAAAGATTGAATCCTCTTTCAAGAAACAATAATGGAAAAGAGTGATGATGCTTAGTAATATTTTTTATCCCTGATATATATACCAACTATATACATATTTGACATGGGAACATGCCAATGACCATTGCTGAGTGCAAAAAAAAAAAACAAATGACAAAGTACTCATCACACTTGTAATAACTCACCTGATTTGTTTCTTCTAGTAGGTTACGAAGTCCCTAGGCTCAGAGACTGTAACTGTATTTTGTCCCTTGTATCTCCAATGTGTGGTAGGTGTCCTTTAAATATAGTGTTTTTACTGCTTAATTAGATATTTACCAACATGTTAGCAGTAGATATCACTCAGTGATAGGATCATAGATCATTTTCACTTGCTCATTAATATTCATCCATATTGTTTGAATTTTTTATGAAGAGCTGTGTTTCTTTTCCTTTCCCTCTTTATCTCTTATTTTATCTTATTCGTTTAATGTTTTAGTTATTTTTAAAATCAGATAAAGCAAAACAAGGTTTAAAAATCTTTTAATGTAAATGGATTGGTGGGAATTTGAGGCATTTCCTTCTGGTAAGGAGGAGGACTTTTGGTACCCATTAAATGGCATCCTAATAACACTGTGGTAGAAAATCCAAACTCAATGGAATCAAACCAGTCCCTCCAATTAGCAGGACCTTAGTGTTTACTTGGCACCCACAGCCACACCACCAAGCCTTTCTGCAGTCTCCCTAACAGGCAGGGAACCAGTCTGCTTGAGTTCCTCCACTGCTTTCCATAGGCTCCCTTGGGACCACATCAACAGAGCACCAAAATACAGAATCTAAGCTGGTTTGCTGTGATTGCCAGGAGGTCTGTGTCATTCTTGGTTCATGGCTAACTTTCTATTGTGCCCTGCCGCAGTTCTTGATTGGGTGGAGAGAAAAACCATTCCGTGCACCTGGCTAGCATGGTCACCATGCCACCTCTCCCTGTTTCTTTGCTTTGCTCACTTCTATCTATCTATCTATCTATCTATCTATCTATCTATCTCTCCATCCATCTATCCATCTACCTACCTATCCATCTATCCATTCATCCGCCCATCTACCTACCTATCTATCCATTTATCCATCCATCCATCCATCTGCCCCCTATATCTATCTATCTATCTATCTATCTATCTATCTATCTATCCATCTACCTACCTATCCATCTGTCTATCTATTCATCCACCCATCTACCTACCTATCTATCCATTTATCCATCCATCCATCCATCTGCCCCTATATCTATCTATCTATCTATCTATCTATCTATCATCTATAAATCTATTGCTTTATTTTTCTATATTTTCTTCTTTTTTTTTTTTTTTTAAATTTTTTTTTTCAACGTTTATTTATTTTTGGGACAGAGAGAGACAGAGCATGAACGGGCGAGGGGCAGAGAGAGAGGGAGACACAGAATCAGAAACAGGCTCCAGGCTCTGAGCCATCAGCCCAGAGCCCGACGCGGGGCTCGAACTCACGGACCGCGAGATCGTGACCTGGCTGAAGTCGGACGCCCAACCGACTGCGCCACCCAGGCGCCCCTATATTTTCTTCCTTTTTATTTGACCATCTTTTATCTGTCTATCGATACCAGTGAGGCCAACAGATGTTGATGTCCTCCTGCAGCTAGGAGAAGATTTACTTTAATGGTGAGTGTGACCATCTACTAAAAACCTATTGGTTACCAGAAACGGTGTAAAGAGACCACAAAGTGCTTAGCGCGTGGTCTGACACATGCAAGTGTCGTGGAAAAAAAAAGATTTTGAGTTCCTTCCTTTCTTCCTTACGGATCATTGCTACTGCTTCAATAAAAACTCATTCTTTCATGACAACTGGTATGAAGGGCAGGTTAAGAGATCTGTCTGCATTAAAAGAACGGTTTTGAATCTTTAAACAAAATGAACCCTTATTTCTTTTGAGTACAGAGGAGAATTGGACAAAGAAAGCGTTCCCAAACAGTATTACTTCTGTCTGCTCTAATCAACATTTAAAACTCATCTGGATGCTGCAGGAATCTATTTGGCTAAGAGTGAGGTGCTAAAAGCCTTAAAACAGTTTATTCTTTTGAAGACATGAAACATTCCTGTACAATCTTCTTTATGGTCGCTCCGGTAAACTTTCCATCGTAGGTAGACCAAAGGTAAGCTGCAGCTCAGGCCAGGTTGAATTATAACAAATTCCATTATTAGCACAGTTCAAATTAATGAGATTTCCCTTTGCTTTGGTTTCAAAAGAGGCTCAAAGCCACTTAGTAACTTGAGACCTCTTGTGAACTCATTACTAGAATAGTTTTTAAAACACAGTGTGGTCTTTGGTTACCATAGGAAATTGCAAAGGCCCAATGACCGTGTTCCTTTTTGGATCCAAGTTTTATGTCGGGCAATTCATTTCAGCTTTGATGATTTTTTAATTTAAAAAATTCCCTACCAATAGTAAAAAAAAAAAAAAATCTATTAGCACACAGTGAACACATGAATCAGTCAAGTTTATTGTCTGAGTTCTGTGCAAAAAAAAAAAAAAGGGGGGGGAATGAAAGTAAACAAAACTTCCAAACTTTACAATATTTATCTTTAAGCTCATAGTAGCCACAGATGCAAAAGTTTGTCCTTGTGTTTTAACGTCTGGCAACCTCCTAAATTAAGTTGGATTTGTCCCAAGGACCAAATAAGAAAATTAATTCATGAACTAGGGCCCTCCAGAATGTTTTTTCCTTTCATTTGGTTTAGTCACTTTTATAGTCCTTTCTTTCTTCGAAGTA